GCCCGGTTTTTGTGGTAACCATTCATCAAAAACTCTGTTAAACAGTTCATTAGAAGCAGTATTTTAGATACATTTCTCTCCGACAATGAATTCCTTTTACGAAATATTTTTTATATAATAATCTCTTATAAGAAAAAAAATCTCTTGTAATGCCAGTGAATAGACCGAGGATTTTGAGGCATTAAATAATTTATTGATATATTAGAGGCGTTTCGGCTATATTTCAAACAAATATAATAGACTGTAAATATTTTATTCCTGAAAAGCCATAAATATTTAATATAAAAAACGATTAAAATTTTAAATATAAATTGATTTTTATAATTTGCCTATACATTTGAATACCGTATACCCGATGTTTAATTTATAATTTAATTCTTATAACATCCTATTACTTTGTATGCATTTATGTAACATTAATATTAATGTGCTGCAAATGGCATTAAATTCAAAAATTAAATATCTTTTTAAGTATATTTTGAATTTAAATTTGAAAATCTTTTCTACATTATAAAGAATATATATATGATATGATATATATATTCAATATATCGCTGATAAACTTAATGCATAAGATTTTTGAAACGAATTTTTCATTGAATATGTTTTTGTGATTTACTATATTTTACGATTAAATTATAAAATCGATATCTTTTACGCCACTTTAGGTACAGTTACATAATACTGACGCTACTCATGCTGTCGTTCTCACTACTGGCCCATTGGTTGGCCTGCATTTGGTATGTGATCGCTGTCGAGGAGATTGAGTTGAATCCCATCAATTGGGACGTCGGTAATGATTATTTCATTCAATTTATGGCTCCATGTATTCAATAGGCATATACTTATATGGATAAAGAATTTGATGGATTTGTGGATATTTTTATCACTTTTGTTAATTAGACGAAAAGCAAAGTTTAGACATTGAGAGAAGTGATGGACCGAAAACTCATACAATTAGATGCCTGCAGAGTCCGGCATTGATTTTATTGAGTGTTTAGTTTGTGTTCAGCGTATTTAAGAGACTTTCTCCTCCTTTATATATATTTACAGTTACGGACTGTTTATAAGTCTCAGACAAAACACAAATCTCTTCTTTTCAATTTAGATCACAAGTGATATAAACGCGAAATCAAACAAAAAAACTCTAATTTATTTAGTTTCGCAAATAAAATGAATTTTTATAAATAGCGCTACAAATCAGTGAAATCAATGGAAACGTAAAATACATTTTTGAAACATTCAATTTAAATGTTTTATTAAAATATAAATTAATCACAAAAACACGATTTTATATCGATTTTTACTTTTTTGATACTTTTTTGTTGTGTAGAGAAAGCAAGTATTTAGCCAAAGGCATGAAAACAGCAATTGTCTGTATGTTGTAATGAAATGTTGAGAATTTCATTGCTTTAATGATGTAAACCAAGTGCGGGGGTCATACCACGGCATCTCATAATCGTAGGCGTAGTAGGTTTTTAAAAAATCAAATTTACTTCAAACAAATTATCTATTCTGGGAGTTAGAGTTCATCCAAACGATACACTTATTTCCGAGATTATGATTCTGTGATTTTGTTAGGAATTTAAACAATTATATTCTGTACATACTTTTATACAATAGATTATATAAATTATTTTTTCTAATGTTAATAGTATGTGAACATGAGAGTAGAATATAATAAATCAGAATTGAAGTAATATTTTTTTTGATAATTTATTCCGTATGGTATTCAATAGATATTATATATTGTGTGTTTTCTAAATGGTATAACTCATAAGTATTTGCTCTTAAGTCCTTTCAAACTGAAAAATTTCTGTTTAGTGTATGCGTTTGAATACAAGCATTATAGGACTATAACCTCTATAGAGTTACAAGTATACCATTGAGTATAATATAAAATAGATGTTTGCATTATATTTCAGCCAATTTTTGAATCAATATGTTTATCCGTATTGAAAGGCATCGGAGTTGTGATCCGCGAAAAATAGGCACCAATTTTTCACTAATAAAACGATGCGAGCAAACAAAAAGGGAAACAAATATATAATAATTTATTCAGCAAAAAATAAAACATTTGAAAATTCCTCTGATTTATTGATGAATGCCATAGAAATTCACGGGTAAAGGACAGGCAGTAAAGCATTTTCCATTCATTCAGATTAGTTAATAAATCTTCACAAATATTGATGCGTTTGTTTGCATACACATTGAGAAACAACTGAAACATACATTTCGCATATTTTTAAATTTAAGACCTTATGTGTTGCTAATATTATCGCAGAATATATTTGCTTCCAAAACAATATGCGCTATAAATCATTGATGTTTTGAAGGCAACGGAGAAATATTTTTAATAAATCTTAAGACAAGAATTTTTCCCCCTCTAATAATAAATGTTTACATAATATTAGTTTTACTGAACTTTTCGTATTAATTTGACACAAATATTATGTAGTAATACATGTAATGATCATTTTTTCATCAATGATTGATAGGATGGTTGCATCAGTTGAGCAGTAAATTGGGTTACGAGACGGTCACCAATAACTTGACGGACTTCTCCTCGTATATCACTGCCCTCTACTTTACCACATCGTCGCTGACATCCGTGGGCTTCGGCAACGTGTCGGCCAATACCGACGCCGAGAAGGTCTTCTCCATCTTAATTATGCTCATCGGAGCCCTTATGCACGCCGTGGTCTTCGGTGCGTCCATACCGGTGCCCAAATGTCGGCCCACTTTTTTTTGACTAAACATTTTACGCCCAACCCATAGGTAACGTGACGGCAATCATCCAACGCATGTACGCCCGGCGTTCCCAATACCAGACCCGACTCCGGGATCTCAAAGACTTCTTCAAATTACATCAAATCCCGAAACAATTGCGACAACGAATGACTGACTACTTCCAGACGACGTGGTCTCTCAATAATGGCATCGATCACAACGAAGTGAGTATTTTTTTCGCTCATTTTTTAGTCAATGTTTTCCAATCGCTAATGGCTTCGGGATATACACGACAAGTGCTGCAGAAGTAAATGTCGACAATAACTATTAGACTTTAAATATACTTTGGATGTACTCTAAAATGCAATTCACTGTGATTTGATTGTCAAATACACGTTTATATGCGTTTAAATTATTCAGATTTTATGGCTGTTTTTCAAATTTCTAGTCGAGAAAAGTTTTTCCTATTTTCTGTTTTAGCGATTCAAATATATTTGAATTTTTTTACAAAACCAAATTGAATTGAATTTAGTTTTCTATGAAAAGTAGAGTCAAATTTTGCTTAAATTAAGTTTTAATTGCAAATACACAGTGTCTTAAATATATCTCAAGGTCTAACAGTTTTTTTATTGTACGTATTAAATAAGTTTTAAGCGAAATTAAATCAAGCGTTAAAATAAAACTGTATTTTATTCATTTTAATTCAAAATGAGATTTCAACGCAACCGTTCGCAAATACATTCAAAATTCTTTGAATAATGATATTAAAGTTTTAGTATACTGTAACTTACTATAAGTTTTAGTATAATGTATGTCTATATGAATCAAATGTTTCTGATGTCTCTCATAAAGAATTTGATTCATTACATTGAATGAAGAATTTTAGTTTTCATTTAATAGAATATATTCCGTATTCAGTGTCAAAGCATGTATTATACAGCATATAAAAACCTGAATTTAGTATTTTTTCATTTGCAATAAACTTCTTAACGTTAGTTTCATTCGCTATCAACTTGTGATCTCCACTTTAATTAAGATCTACGAATCATATGAAAACCTTTTTTAACACTAATTTGTTTAATCTTTTGTTGCACTAAATCTGCAGCCAATGAATAAAGGGCTT